CGTGAGAGGTGTGTCCGGTGGTGAGCGCAAGCGTGTATCCATCGCAGAGATGATGATCACCAACGCCTGCGTTCTGTCCTGGGACAACAGCACCCGCGGTCTCGACGCCTCCACCGCGCTCGACTTCGTCAAGTCTCTCCGCGTCCAGACGAACCTCTACCAGACCACCACCTTCGTCTCCCTGTACCAGGCCTCCGAGAATATCTACAACCTCTTCGATAAGGTCATGGTCATCGACGCCGGAAAGCAAGTCTACCTCGGCCCAGCGAAGGAAGCCCGCGCCTACTTTGAGGGTCTCGGCTTCGCCCCCCGCCCGAGACAAACGACCCCCGACTACGTGACTGGCTGCACCGACGAGTTCGAGCGCGAGTACGCCGCTGGCCGTTCCCCCGAGAACGCTCCTCACGACCCCGACTCCCTCGCTGAGGCCTTCAAGACCTCCAAGTTCCAGAAGCAGCTCGACAGCGAGATGGAGGAGTACAAGGCCCGCCTCGCCCAGGAGACTGAAAAGCACGAGGACTTCCAGGTTGCTGTTCGCGAGGCCAAGCGCGGCTCGTCCCACCGCTCCGTCTACGCCGTCGGCTTCCACCTCCAAGTCTGGGCCCTCATGAAGCGCCAGTTCGTTCTGAAGCTCCAAGACCGCCTCTCCCTGTTCCTCTCCTGGCTCCGTTCCATCGTCATCGCCATCGTCCTCGGTACCCTCTTCTTCCGTCTCGGCTCCACTTCCGCTAGCGCCTTCAGCAAGGGCGGTCTCATGTTCATCTCCCTCTTGTTCAACGCTTTCCAGGCCTTCTCGGAGTTAGGAGGTACAATGACAGGTCGTTCAATCGTCAACAAGCACAAGGCGTACGCCTTCCATCGTCCGTCGGCTCTCTGGATTGCCCAGATCATCGTCGATCAGGCCTTCGCGGCGACTCAGATCTTGGTTTTCTCGGTTATCGTCTATTTCATGTCCGGATTGGTCCGCGATGCCGGCGCCTTCTTCACGTTCTACCTCATGATCTTGTCTGGCAATATCGCAATGACTCTTTTCTTCCGAATCATAGGAGTCATTAGCCCGTTTGTAACCCTATTTCCCTTCATGAAGCACGGTAGCTAACAGCCGCAGTGACTTTGACTACGCCATCAAGTTCGCCGTTGTCCTCATCACGTTCTTCGTCGTCACCTCTGGCTACCTCATCCAGTACCAGTCTGAGCATAAGTGGCTCCGCTGGATCTACTGGGTCAACGCCCTGGGTCTAGCCTTCAGTGCCATGATGGAAAACGAGTTCTCGCGCTTGACGCTCACTTGCTCTGACGAGTCTCTTATTCCTTCAGGACCAGGCTACACGGACATCAACCACCAAGTCTGCACGCTCGCAGGATCCGTTTCGGGTACGACAGCCGTCGATGGCTCCGCCTACATTGCCAGCGCCTTCTCTTACTTCAAGGGCGACCTGTGGCGAAACTGGGGCATCATCTTCGCGTTGATCGTCTTCTTCCTTTTCTTGAACGTCACCCTTGGCGAGTTGATCAACTTCGCAGGCGGCGGCAACAATGCCAAGGTGTACCAGAAGCCCAACGAGGAACGCAAGAAGCTCAACGACGCTCTCACGGAGAAGAGGGCCGCTAAGCGTCGCGGCGACAACACCGATCAGGGCTCCGATCTCACCATCAACTCCGTCAGCGTTCTCACCTGGGAGAACCTCAACTACGACGTCCCCGTCCCCGGTGGCACTCGCAGACTCCTCAACAACATCTTCGGATACGTGAAGCCCGGCCAACTTACTGCTCTCATGGGTGCCTCCGGCGCCGGCAAGACGACCCTCCTTGACGTCCTCGCTTCCCGCAAGAACATTGGTGTTATCGGCGGTGACGTACTGGTCGACGGCGTGAAGCCCGGCAAGCAGTTCCAGCGCTCAACTTCCTACGCGGAGCAGCTCGATCTTCACGACCCTACCCAGACCGTCCGCGAAGCCCTCCGCTTCTCCGCTCTTCTGCGCCAGCCTTTCGAGACTCCCGAGGCTGAGCGGTTCGCCTATGTCGAGGAAATTATCGCCCTTCTCGAAATGGAGCACATTGCGGACTGCATCATCGGCAGCCCTGAGTTTGGCCTTACTGTCGAACAGCGCAAGCGTGTCACCATTGGCGTCGAGCTCGCTGCGAAGCCCGAACTCCTCCTCTTCCTCGACGAACCCACCTCCGGTCTTGACTCCCAAAGCGCCTTCAACATTGTCCGCTTCCTGAAGAAGCTCGCCGCCGCTGGCCAGGCCATCCTGTGCACCATCCACCAGCCGAACGCTGCCCTCTTTGAGAACTTTGACCGCCTCCTACTCCTTCAGCGCGGTGGCCGCACCGTTTACTTTGGTGACATCGGCCAGGACGCTGTCGTTCTCCGCGACTACCTGAAGCGCCACGGCGCCGTAGCCAAACCCACCGACAACGTCGCCGAGTACATGCTTGAGGCCATCGGCGCTGGCTCCGCCCCGCGCGTGGGCAACCGCGACTGGGCCGACATTTGGGACGACAGTGCCGAGCTCGCCAACGTCAAGGACACGATTTCCCAGCTGAAGGAGCAGCGCATTGCCGCTGGCCGCACCGTCAGCGCCGACCTCGAGAAGGAGTACGCCTCCCCGCAGATGCACCAGCTCAAGGTCGTTGTCCGCCGGATGAACCTCTCCTTCTGGCGCAGCCCCAACTACCTCTTCACCCGCCTCTTTAACCACGTCATCGTCGCCCTCATCACCGGTCTGACCTATCTCAACCTCGACGACAGCCGCTCCTCGCTGCAGTACAAGGTCTTCGTTATGTTTCAGGTCACCGTCCTCCCTGCCCTCATCATCTCCCAGGTCGAGGTCATGTTCCATATCAAGCGGTCGCTCTTCTTCCGCGAGGCCTCCTCCAAGATGTACAACCCCATCACCTTCGCCAGCGCAATTACCATTGCTGAGCTGCCCTACTCCATCCTTTGCTCCGTCGCCTTCTTCCTGCCGCTCTACTTCATGCCCGGCTTCCAGTACACTCCCTCTCGCGCCGGCTACCAGTTCTTCATGATCCTGGTCACCGAGCTCTTCTCCGTTTCCCTCGGCCAAGCCCTCGCCTCCCTCACCCCGTCGCCCTTCATCTCCTCCCAGTTCGATCCCTTCATCATGATCACCTTCGCCCTCTTCTGCGGTGTAACCATCCCCGCTCCGCAGATGCCCGGCTTCTGGCGCGCCTGGCTCTACCAGCTGGACCCCTTCACCCGCCTCATCGGCGGCATGGTGGTCACCGCTCTGCACGACCTCAAGGTCGCCTGCACCTCCGCCGAGTTCAACCCCTTCAAGGCTCCCGACGGCCAGACCTGCGGAGAGTACATGCAACCCTTCTTTGAGCGCGGCGGACCTGGCTACCTGGCCAACAACAACACCCAGGACTGCGAGTACTGCGCCTACAAGATCGGCGACGAGTTCTACACGCCCCTCGGCCTGACGTTCGACAACCGCTGGAGGGACCTGGGCATCTTCATCGCGTTTGTAGGAAGCAACCTGATCATCCTCTTTGCTGCTGTAAGTTGATACTTCCCCAATCGTTCTGCCGAATAATTACTAACATCTCCAACAGAGCAAGTTCTTGAACTTCAACCGCAGATAAACACCCCGCCCAACCCGTACATCATTTTCCTTTTTCGTATGTTGCATGGAAATGAAACGCGCACGTTGACATGCACGTTTTTCCATCCGCCACACAAACGTTTTCTTGTGAGGCAAAACCACTGGCATTTGCAGATACCATCAAATTGGAGTCTTGGGCGAATTAAAAGAGAAAGAGAGAATGTGTTTTGTTTTTGACGAGAAGATGGGAAAGATGAGAAGAAGATTAGAGAACGCCTTCATTGCGCGCGCAGCATGGCCTTGCATGGGAACATCACGCCTTTTCACCTAACCGTCTGGCACCTTTGAGTGCCGACCATCATCATAGCATAGAGCTTTTACGTAATTTAATAGATGTGGAGAGATTGTATGAACTTGATGGTGGCTTGTGTTTGAGAGCATTGGGCTGCATGTCCACTTAAGCATGATCATTACGCGCCAGTAGGCTTTTTTAGTAGTTCATAACTGTCTGCCGACCATTCCGCGCGGCGCGAGATGGGAGTGACTACAACACGTCTTTCCCGAACACGCCACATGTTCGAGCTCCTGATCGCCAGACGCCGCAAACCAGAGATCTAACATATGAGATATTCTAAACGAATCTCTCCTCAGTCTTGCCCATCCTCTCTGCCATTCACTTTCACGGGGGTATACTGGGGCGAAAGCTCATCATGCAGGGGGAACAGGTCTTGTCTTCTGCACAAGAACACGGGCATACATCGTCCTGTTCATAATCATCGAACCCTATGATCGTCGACGGTGCATTCAAAACGATATGGCGCGTCTTGATTTGCGGCCAGTAGTAGAGGGTGTTGCATGGACAAGCTTTTTAAGGTGAACCGAGACCTTTCAAGGAATAGATTGTGTGGGCCAGCACGTCATTTCTCTGCCACATTTGACGTCGAGACTTAAACACACGAAAGCAAGCTCTGCTCATGACGAGAGCCGCCGTACCCGTCATCATCGATGTGCTCCCATGATTCGACGTGGAACCAGACAGCAGGGTGTGTCGTCGAGTCGGCACAACGGAGGGGCGTGTTTCTTCGCGTGAGCTGGTGCGCACTCTTGGCTGATGGGGGCGCTCAGCGAAGAATACTGGTGTCAAATTACCAGTTGATAGAGCAGGCGGTTGCCATTATTTCATCTTGAACTTCGCCGTGCGGCCGTTCACGAATCTCGTTTGGAGGATAGATCTGGTGATGCAGACTAGCGGTGCTGTCTAGGTAGGAGTATCTGCAGATCTATTGTTCCCTAAGCGCTGATAAGAAGCGATGCCCCTCAGCCCGTAGCCGTCTTACTCAGAAGACATGCGGCAAAATAAAAAGACATAGCAAATGCCGGAGACTCTTTTCACAGACGCTCGCCATTACCGCCTAATATCTACTGCCTTCAAAACGACTCCCACGCTTCTTTGCACAGTTCTTCGCGGATTTGCTGCAGATAGTCTCTGAATGCGACTGGCTCTTCACCCTCGAGCAAAATTGTCCCATCCACGACACCTCTCGATCCCTTGATGGGCACCTCGATGTACTCGTGATCCGGCGGACACTGTGGCATGTACCGGGGTCTACTTAAACTATGATGATCATCTCGGCCCCTCATCTTGTAGCAGTCCTTGCATAGGAAACATTCAGAACAGACGAGGCAGAGGTAGCAAACGCTTCCCGCCCAGGTTTTGAACTTGGCCGTGGGTATACAGCCTCCGTCGCAGAACAACTCGGTATCTTCATCGAGGTCGCTCTCATCACCCTTCGTCGCGGAATCCTCCACGTCATCGGAATCTTCGTCGCCGCGTTCTTCCCTAGGCAGGACATTTGCGCGGACAGGAGAATCTGCGCCGCCCTCTTGAGCCCCTGCCCGTCCTTGACGGTCCCGCCGAGAATGCCCAGCGACATCGCCAAGCAGACCAGATTGTCCCCGTCATTCCAGCCCACGTTGTCACTGAGAGCCCCTACGCAAGAATCGACGACACCCTGCAGCGTCTGGTGAAACATCTCGGCCGGGCCCAGTTTGAGATACATCCGGGCGAGGACGATCTGGCGATACAGCATAGCAGTGTTCGAGATCGGCGGCACGTCCAGCGCGAGGGGCCGCATGAGAAGCCCTTCGACCTCGAGAAGCTTCCGCTTGCGCTTCACGTCTGCGGACTCCGGGAAGAGGCGGTAAAGGACCTCGCTCTGGAAGGTGTTGGCGGTGTCCAGTGTAGCTTCGGGCGCCTCGCCCGTCACGGCGTACGGCCAGCCGGTGGACCCGCTGTCCAGGGCCTGGTCGAAGACGGTCCTCGCGGCTTCGAGGTCTTTTGTCGCGTTGATGTGGGGAAAGCCGAGCTCGATGAGTAAAGGAGCGGATGCGTTGACGTTTTCCAGCAGCCTGATCAAGTCCTGGTACATCTGGACGACAAAGGCCACCTCTCCGGACTCGACTGCCGCGCGAATCACGGCCTGGTAGACCAAGTCTCAGGTGTCCCAGCAGAGGTAGGCCAGCCGTTCAAGCGGGGACTAAGTCTTGAGCGTCCTGATGAACTCCTGCTTACAAGGTTCGTTCTCGAAGAGCTTTATCTGGGCTCTCAGAGCATCCCCCGTCACGAGGTTGCTCGGGTCAATCTGTCTTCCCTTCTAACTTTTTCTTCGCAGTTTGCCGCCTGGAGGCGCACCTTGTTGACTGCCGTATGACTCTCACTTGCTCGGGTCAATTGATCTCGCCAACTCGTACGATGCAGCAGCGTCCTGGCGTTCCCCGAGCTTGGTTTCGATTTGAGCTTTGGTGATGTTGACCGAGCGACGAAGCGGGAGCGGAACCGACTAGTCGTGTGCTTGGCTTAGGCAAGCCTGGATGTCTTCGTAGGCCGCTTGCGGATTGCCTTTGGTACTGATTCGAGAGAGCAGCTCGAGCGACTGTACGTGCTCGAGTGGCGTTTGTGAATAATTCATAGCCTTGAGACAGGTACTCTCCGCAGGTTGAACCTGTTTGTAAAGAAAGTGGAGGGCCGCAAGCCAGTGATAGCCAGTAGAGCCCAAATTGATGTCTCCGAAGAGAACATCAAGACCGAGAACTGCCTGTTTGGCCGACAGAGTTCTTGACATATTGCCAACCGCAGAGGCAAAACTTTCTCTCGCCTGTTCCTCAAGAATCGCTCCTTTGCCGCACTACGAAGCGTGAGGATCATTCCAGAAGGAACCTTTGTCAGGACTCACGATCCTCAAAGCGCCATTGGCTGCTAAGAATGAAGCTTCGGCCGTGTTCATATCGACAGCATCCTGGAGCCTGCGGACATGCGACTTGGCAAGTTGGACCAGGCAGTCTCTGGGGCGTTCCGCAATGAGAGCCCACCACTCGGCAGCCTCCGTGCTGAGAGACACTTTCACATCAGGAAAGAGGCCGGCCCATGAGCGGAGTCTATCAAAGAACGAGTCGACGAATATCTCGTCGTGGTAAAAGGTGGTCTTCAGCTCCTGCTCCTGGATCCTCCCGAACGAGCTCTTGTCCAGCATCAGCGAGGCGAACGTTTCCATCACTTCAGTCTGTTGCTCGACGTTCAAGTGATCTGCTTCGACGCCGCGCCAGTGGTGAAGGACGTAGTTGATCGCGTACTCCCGAGCACCTTGATCGGTGCTCATGATGCTGGGGTGCTCAGGCTGGATGAAGTTACAACAGGTGCGAATCATTTGTCTGTGTGCTTCCGATCTTCGTGGGCGGTGGTCATCGTTGGGCGCAACAGGCTCTTCCCGGAAGAATCCAAGCATAAAGCGTTCTCTGAGCTTGATGGGAAGTTTTCCGTCTTGGTAGAGATCGTCCGATTGGGATGTCTTCTGGGCCTTTTACAGCTCATCTATGGCGGTCCCCCAGCCCCTACGCGACTGGATCTTTGCTCGTGTTTCGGCGCCTGAGTCCGGATCGCCGATCTGAAGAAGCTTGTCGAAGGGCTCCGGTATCTCTTCAAGATCGATGTCGCTTTGATTGGACCAGAACCGCAGCAGCGACAGGCCTTCGTGCAAGTTTATGAGCCTGAGCGAATGCAAAATCCATTGCAAGACCCTAGAAACAGGCTTACGGCGATCGGATTCGGTTCGACGGAAGCACTCTGCGGTGGTCACTTTATACAGCTGGTCGAGGGTGCGAGGAAGAGGCTTTTCCAGACTGCGTAGGACGGCGCCTTCGCGTTCAAGAGTGTTCAGTCTTGCTAGCAAGTGTTCGGCATAGAGTATGTCTATCGCGTACCATTAGCCCTGGCATACCGAGGGATGAGGGTTGGAAGACCTGATCTTATTAGGTGCAATCTCCTCTGTCTTGTTTGCAACACGCTGCTGAACGTAGCGGCTGAACTTTTTGAGAGCGCTTAGGGAGTTGATGCGAGCCCAGATGATGGTTCTCAGGTCGTCCATCTGCTTCTCCCTCGCGATTTCAATATTCAAAGGTGGGTTCGAGGATGCCTCCTGAACGTTGAAGTCAGATCTAGCTGTGTACGCCATTGAGATCCTCAAAGCGCTTTCCTCGATAGTCTTGATGAACTGCTCGAAGAGGGCTAGATCGTTGTCAGCAATCTCATCGGTTCCATCAAACACCAAGAACAGGCGGCCCTTTGAAACTTGGCCAAACGCAGCACCCAGGAGCTTGCGTAAGAGGTCATCAGAGTTTCCACGATCGATCTGAGACTCATCCCGGACGATCTCCGCGTACATGGCCTCGCAAAGCTCTGGGTTCTGTTCCGCAACTTGATTGATGACGCTGATGAGACCATTGGTGAAGGACGAAAGGCTTTCGTCCTGTTCGCGAAAGTAGAACTGAGCCACGCACGTGCGCCTCGACGAGTCGTTGACCGCCTCCTCGCTCTTGAGGGCTTGGTATACGGAGAACGCCAGATAGTTCTTGCCCGTGCTCTGGCTTCCGGTGATGGCGAGGACGGTATTCGGCGGAGCTTCCTGGTTCAGCCATCTATTCCATTGAGGCTCCCGAAATGCCCAGGCGCGCGTATCGGGCACGATCGTCTCCTGTAACACGTGATACTCGTGGTCTTCGCCCTCGACTTCCATCAGGGTGTTTCGAATGCCCTTTGCCGAGGGATGCTTGCCGTGCTCCGCAGCAGAGGGCTTGCCCTTGTGCTCGCCGCTGCCGCGTTATTTGCTCTGCTCCTGCTTCTGGTCGTCAAAGGCCCTGAGGAGTTTGGCCATGTCATCGCGAATGCTCTCGGTCGTGTCCCAGACGACGCTCATGGCCTGCATTGCTCCTCGAGCATTGCCGTGTGGGAGTGCTGGTTCTTGAGCAACTCCAAGGTCATCTTCTGGATCTCTTCAGTGTTGCCCAGGATGGCGAATTTGGTCGCCTCTTGAAGGCGTTGGATCCGCAAATCCATCTTCTTCCGAGCCCCTCCAAGCTCGCTGTCTTCGCCTTGGATAAGATGGCTGATCCAATTTTCTGGTTACGTTAGCTAAGAAACCGCAGCTGATGGTTAGAAAGGAGGCATTTCATCTGACTGAAGCGGCCGACTTCAATATATTTGTGTGCAAAGCCGCACATGGTCAGAAATGACATGAAGACATCCATCAGACAGTTCTGGTACGCATTGTACTTTGGAAGCCTAGTCTCCAGGATGACGATGCGCTGCAGGAAGCTGTTCATATCTTCGAAGAAGACCATCACGATGTCATAGTCTGCCGAAACCTTTTGACACGCATGTTTTCTTGTTCAACTTTATTTCAGCGCACGAAAAGGCGTTTCTTTACTTACGCTCAGCATGAAGGTAACGGCGGTGCCAATCGCCGCGGCCGGCGGGAAGGTGGGCACGGCGGCCGCGACGAGCTGTTGAGCGCCCTTCTCAATGTAGTCCAGGTTTGCCGAGAAGAGGCCGCGCAACTTGTCGACCTTCTTGTCATCGTGACGAAACTTGTGGAAGTTCTGCATCTCCTTGGTGCCCCGGGTGATCATGGCCTTTACGTTCTCGAACTTGCGCTCCAGGTCGAAACCCACAATGCCCTTGTAAGTCTTCAGGGCATCTTTCCATAGATCCGCGACATCGCGATTGTTGCCGGCCATGTCGTCCGGGACCCTCTGAGCTGGAACGGGAGCCATGATTGACGCGTCTGTTTGTGAATTGGACGGTCCCCAGCGGCGAGATGATACGCTCTTTCAGGGAAGAGGGTGGGCTGAACAATTGCATGTTGCCGTGGGCATCAGGCTTCAAAGCGTGATGGCGAGGTGATCAGTCGATGATCTGGTTCGCCAGTGGGCGAGTGAAATGCAGCAGCCTTGATGTTTTGACCCCAAGCCGATGTTAGCCTATGCTAGATTAGTTGGTTACGTGCCGTGTCAGAAAATACGCAGCTCATTGCTGACGTACAGGCCCAGCTGAAGTGCGCTGGTGCTCGATGCCCAATCATCTTGCTTGAGTCAAATCACTCGGAGGGAAGTCCAGAGAGTTAAGGATAATGGCGCCAAGACCGATGTCAGGCGTCACGCGTTGCTGACGCTGCGTCTACGATGACCCGTTCTCGGCAAGAGAATAGTTCATCGTGCCCTTCGTGACAGACTCAGTATTCTGCACTTCTTGAGTTTGATGTCTGGTATCGACCCGTGTAATATGAATTGACAACACTGCCATAGACTCACGTAATGATACTGCTTCCGGCGCAAGATCGGTCCCAAGTGAAAAGGCCTCGTGACTTGCCGACTACCCAGCACCCTTGCAGTGGCGGGTGGAAGTTTGCCAAAAAGCCAAGTCTTTCCAGGCCACTAGGTCTGATCCTTGGGAGACTGTGAAAGTCGGCGGGCAGTCGAGGAGAACCAAAGACGATCACTTTCCGCATGAAAGTTGTGACACCGCGCGACAGCATGACGATCGATGCAGATGGATTAAGTCTGGACCTTGAGCACAACCGGTTGCACACGATGACCTGAACGACAGCTTCGGCATGCGTCTGGTGACCAATAGAGGTGGGAATTCTACTGAAGTCAAATCCTTTGTAACTCGATTTATTCCTTTCGATCTATAGGAACTAGCGACCATCACCCGACCTCCAAGCTCGTCTTTAGGCTGGGTGCTGTACTCTAAGAAGAGCAGCATTGCCACTAGGTGGCTGTGTAAGCCGATGACGTGAAACAAGGGCGGCATCTGTGTGTGTACTTACTTGCTGAAATCCTTTGCACTCGAACTTGTTGTTGCCCAGGCCTGAGGCGCTTAGCATAGTGTTCTTCTGTACGACGAGATTCTTGAGATCGGTTCTCATATCGCAAGTCATAGCAGGGCCTCCGTCAATAGAGCAGGTTCCAGTCATAGTAGCAGTCCATGTGTTCTCGTTTAATGAACATACAGTTTGCCGGGCTTCAAGCTGCTCAGTTGGTAGCCCCAGGGCAGGCTGGGCTATCGCAGCTAGAGTGGCGAGAATAATAGAAAGAGAAAGCATTGTAGAAGATGTGTCGTGTCAACTAAAGACGATCGGATGAAGTTTGCGGTTCCTCCACAGAGACGACGAGACATATTCACGCCTTTAATAGTCTTTGTAAGGTATCTTGCGGGCTGTCTGTAGTTGCAAATGGAGCCGCGGGAGTTGCAAGCTGGCGTTAACTGCGAGTCGTAAGAAACCTTATTTAGATTCAGATTTATTAGAGGTGGAGTGCGCGGTAATTATAGAAAGTTTCAGTATGATAAGTTGGGTAGTTCTTAGAACCTGGCGGATCCTGACTCAGGAGCCAGTCTCGTGACCGGCAGTGTCGGAAGCTCGAATTGTGCACCGTGGCCAAGGCCCCCACTGCATGAATCAGAATGCGTTCTGTGAACTGAAGTGATTTCCAGTTCTGGCGAGATGGGAGAGAGGACAGAATGGGCCGGGTTAGGCTCAGGGAGGACTTCAGAGGGTTTCGGAGTCTTCAAAGGGCTTCGCAACGGTTTCAGAGGACTTTAGAAGGGTTTGCGGGGGCTTTAGGGAGCTACAGAAGGCAGGGTGGAGTGGGTTAGAGGGCTTCAGAAGGAACCGGAGGGAATGAAAAGTCTGAGCTCAGTTTTCGAGGGCAAATTGCTGATTGCGGAGGAAGGTGGGAAGGAGCTGTGAGGAGATCGACGTCAACGGGCATTTTGACGCCCCGAAGCCCGAAAAAAGCAATTTGGGAGGATTTGAACGAGTTTGAGAGTTTCTTGGCGTCTTTCATGTTCGTCGCATGTGGTTGCGCACCCATCCACTGTTCCCTGCGCGCGCCAGATTGGAGTCTGCGCCACGCCGTTAAGGTTTGCCATTGTCGCAGTTCCCTTGAGGAGACAGAAGTTAAGTCCGCCGTGGAGCTGAATTCCACACGCGTGCGCCTCATTCAGACGGAACCGTCGGATGGGCTGCGCGAGCGGGACGGGCCGTGCCGCATCTCCAGGGGGCCCGTTACCAGGGCACCCCCCACAGTGCAACTCAACGGCAACGTCTGTAGGTAGCGCATCTTGGAGACGACCCTCAGAGTGCAGGTGGCCTAGTCGCCCGTCTGAAAGCCGCCATCGCTGGCAGGAGGTGACGCGTGCGGCCTGGCGCGCTGAAGTCGGTCCAAAGCTGAAGGCAATTGAGTCGCTTCCGTTGAACACCGAGACCGACCTCGACCGGTTTTTCGCCGAGGCAGACAAGATTCTCCAAAATGGGAGAGATAAGCTCGTTCCTCAAAGCAGGCCGCCCGACATCAGCACCAGAGTCAGGCCTTCTGATCCGGCAGATCGAGCTCCGGGCAAGAAAAAGAAGTTCCAGGATCAAGGGAACCGCAACGACAATCGAGAGGCCTCCTCCCGCAAGAACAAGGCGCAAGGCGCGGCCGCTGCGCCTCAGAGTGCACCAAATAACCCGGAAAGTTCGCCCACAGAGACGCGCCACCAGCGGACCAAGAACTGGCGCATGTATTTGGCTGATCGGAAAAAGTGTATTCACAAGCTGGCCTGCCTGGCCGTTCGACTGGCGGAGGCATCTCCTAAGACGGACATTCCTGACTTTGTGGAAGACGGAAAGTATTACCAGACGGTTGACGAGAAGGCCGAGCTGCTGGTGCGCAAGCTTTGGCCTGATTCCAGTGAAGCCACCGGGCAGCCACCCGGGCTGGAACTTCCTGATCTTTCAGGTGAGATCAACAGTGAAGACACGGCGCTCATGGATCTCAAGCCTGGAGAGCTGGCCGACACGGTGCGCCGTATGCCTGCTCATAAGGCCGAGGGAAAGTCCGGTATATCTGTCGACGCACTGAAGATGCTGCTGCCCTCGAAAGACGACGACGAAGACCTTCTGACGAATGTCTTTGAGCGGCCTCTGCAAGCCTGTCTCAAGTTATGCTATCACCCAAACAGGTTCAAGGAAGCGATTACGGTCATGATCGCAAAGTCTCACAAGGACCCGAGACTTCCGACAAGCTATCGGCCCATCGCCCTGCTCTGCCCCATAGCCAAGATTGTGGAAAAGCTGTTCGCAGTCAGACTCACGCGTTGGCTCCTGAACTCCGGCGTACTTCCCTTCGAACAGTATGGGTGCCAAGGGAGAAACACCAACCAAGCTCTCGAGTCACTCATCAACGCTGCTTACAACAGCTGGACTGATGGCGACAAGGATCGCTATGTGTCCATTTACGCCCTTGACATCAAGGGCGCGTTCGACCGCGTTCGCCGTGCGCACTTGCTACGGATCCTGAGCGAGTATGGCGTTCCGGACTGGATGATCACGTTCGTCTGGTCATTTTTGTCTGACCGAAGCACAACCGTTCGCATGCAGGGAGCAGTGTCGAAGAAGTTTTGGATTAACATCGGCATCCCGCAAGGAAGCCCGCTGTCCCCCATTCTCTTTCTCTTCTTCTCGATCCCTCTGCTCAACAAGCTCCTAAAGGACAGAGGATTGATCTCTAACGATAACGCTGTTCTGTATCAATTGAAGCGTTTTCTGATTGCCGCATTTGTTGACGATATCACCTTCTTAATCGTCTCCGACTCCGTCGAGAAGAACAACAAGGCCGCAGAAAAATTGTACAACGCCTTAGTTGACTTTGCTGGAAAGGATGGCACCACATTCTCCGCTGATAAGACAAAAGTGATACACCTCTGTAGGGCAAGGCAGAAGTTCAACGACAGCATGCCTAACATCAAAGATGCTCCCCCGAAGGCAGAAAAGGCCATCAAGATTCTCGGGCTATGGCTGGATTATCGTCTGACATGGGAAACGCACGTGGAAAAGGTAAGCGAGACTGCCGATGAGCACCGTCTGTCTTGAGACTGACCCTGCCTCGAAAGATTGTGAACAAGGCCCGGCTGAAAATGTTCAACCTACGTCGCGTTGCTGGGTCAACTTTTGGCCCAGGACTCAAGAAGCTTCTGGACAGATACACTAGCGCTATTCTCCCCATCATCAGCTACGCATGTCCTGTTTGGTTCGCGGGGTATGATGAGAGGAAGTACACCGAATCTGGGAAACCGCCGGGTGCCAGGTGCCGGCTCTCAATCAGTGCCAAGCTTGTCAACAGGCTGGAGAGCGAGCACAACTACTTCTTGAAGCAACTGTCTGGGGCTTATGCCATGACCACCGGCTTCATCCTCCTCAAGGAACTCGCAGTGCCAACGATTGCTGTTTTACTCACCAGGCTTGTGCGAACCTACTGGGCTCAGGTCGTGGAGACGCGGTACGGGGGCAAGTTGCTGAAGCCCAGTGTGGCTTACCCGGACCAACACCCTTATGTGCTTGCCGCAACTGATGCCTACCGCAAGGTTTTGCGACCGGCAAAAGACCGGCTCGAGCTGGAAAAGCCGGTCGACGAGGGTGCCAGGTACAGGAAGCTCAGACGACTCATCAAGTCCATTGCAGACGACCTCGTCACAGACCAGATGCAGACGGATTGGGTCGTGTTTGTCAACGTACGCAGCTGCGAGACTCGGTACTTCAACAAGTTCCCTCCAGCCCTCGGAGGGACGTGGGGGAAACACAACTTCAAGGTCTACGAAGACTTGCTCAAGGCTCAGAGCACTATCCTGCTGCATTGCCGAACAGGTGTCAATGGCCTCAACGCATGCTTGAATTTCATGTCTTTCAAGGTACGTGCCGTGCTTCCTTCCCCGTCTCTCTTCCCCCGTCTCTCTTCCTCCTTCGCTCTTCCCCCTTCTCCCCTTCCCCTTCTCTCGCCCCCCTTTTCCTCCAACCCCCCGCCTCTTCTCCCTTAATTCCCTCAATACCTGGCTCTTTCCACCCACGATCCATCCACATCCATCTGCGGGGGTATACGAGACTGTGGAAATCTGTTCACACCGCTGAAGGCACCGCTCTACGGCTTACACCCTCCTTCCGCACCCCTGTCTCTCTCACACACCCCTCTCCCACTGGCACCTTTCACACCCCTCTCCCAATATCCCGCTCGCCACGCCTCTGGCGCCATTCCTTGTGGGCACATGCTGTCACAAGTGTCTTGCACAGCCGATGAGCCCACACAAGGTGCGTGGCCCTTGTCCTGGCGAGACAAGTTCAGAGTTTTCACCGCGGTTCGGCGTTGTCAGTCAGCTTTCTGTCTGCACGACCGTTCTCTTCGCTATTGGACGTCATCGAACTTTCCTCTTAACTCTGTTCTCGTCCCTCCACGTTCCCAAACCCGGGTGTCGTCGCCTCTCGTCGCCTACTTTTCTGCACACCTCTTTTCTTTTCCCCTCCACGTTCTCAAGCCCAAGTCCTGTCACCAAAACTCGACTGACTCACACATCTAAGCTGGCCCCCAGCTCTGCCTGCCCCTGCGGAGCCCGTCCTCACGACGCCAGGCACCTCTTCATGGAATGTCCCTTGTTGGCGGCCCCGAGGAAGCATCTGAAGGCCGCCATGCATGTGTTCTCTTTCCAAGTCCTGGTCACCGACTACCCCAAGCTGGCTGCCAACTTCGCGATCCGATACTTTTCGCTCGAGCAGTTCGCATGGACGGCAAAACGCCTCGCGAACCCTGACTTTGGCAACCTGCCAACGGGGGGGTCTTACGCTGGGGCTGAGGGAACAACATCGCTGTCCATCAGGCCGAAAGCTAGGTAGAATAGACAGCTTCCATCAATCAAATGTTTCAACCGCAGGCCTCTGGCCGTTCACAGTGATTTTTACCTGCTTAGAGCGACAGACCTCCTAACTCCGCGCCTCCTGATAATACACACAGCCTTCGGTCACGTGATCGTAAGTAAGTCTTCCCTCCTCCGATCATTGAATCATCTTGACGTTCAAGTTGGACCAGCCTGACGACCTCCCAAGTCTCCGACCACGTCCGTTCGTCCTACCCACCGCCCCAGCAACGAGAAGCTGGCTGACCATTTCTGTCTCACGCAGCTCTCCCAACCACAGCCGCACTTACATGTGCACGTCAGTCAGCGCGTTCTCTCCATGCTCTCCGCGTTTCGTCTAACCGTGCTGACCCGTCTCCAAGCACCAGACAACCTCACAATCTTCAACTTCACTTCGGCAACGATGTGGTTTGTGATTACTCAATTACTCAATTACTGGTGCGTCGACCGTTTGCCCGGCTCTGAAGGAACGTTTCCCTGCTGACACTTTCATAAGCAGACTACTGAACTGTCGACCTATCCTCTCTCTCGCGCATCGCCCGCGCCACTGTCAGTGAGCCCACCTCCGGCGCACAGCTTGCCGAGCGCACCGCTGACGATCGATCAGAACACCGTCTCCATCACTGCTTCGCCGTCCGCCATGTAAGTCGGGACACACTCCTTTCGTCATGTCTGCATCACTGAGCTCTGCTTACCAGAGTGGCTTCTTTGGAAGCAAGTCGTCACTGTCATTCGTGAGCAGCGCCCCATGTGTCGGCCGTTTGACACTTTGTTGACTTGAGTGCTCCAAGCAGTCTTCTTGTTCGATCGGGCCGGCTGACGCCTTCGGTATGCCTTGCGTCGTCCGCGAACAAAGTGGTACGCTGAGCTGACAAGCCCAGCAGCAGCTGTGCCGTCGTCAGCAACGCTATCTCTGTGTAAGTGAGTCACGATTCTCAATCTCTGAGGCGCGTCTGACTAACAGTTTCACAAGCAGTCGGCGCAAGGCGCACTCACCGATGTTCGTATATTGCTTCACTTTTATCAGTATTTAAAGCTAGCTCACAGTCTAGGAGCTCTACGCGAGGCCTACGTCCTCTTTAGCACCCTTGAGTGCTTCAGAGAAGAAGTCCCACTCGTTAGGGTGGCTAAGGACATGGTTGAACTCCGCGTCAATGTTGTCCAAGGCTTTCTTAGCGAGAGGGATAACGTCGCTGCCTATAGGGGCTTCTAGGAGGCTTATCGACAGGGCCATCAGGACGATACGTGAGTAGAAACATGATATATCATTCATGTACATACTGATTGATGTCTCTGTAGGCTTTTGGTCTTCTTTGGATTGTTCTTCGAATGGGACCTTCTCGTCAAGCGTGCCGAGGTTGAAGTCGTTCCAGATGCGTCGCGCGTTGTTCACGGAGATAAGGGCGCCGCCTGGCTTGGTTTGTGATATGACTTCCCTAAGTTCTTCAGCTATCTAATATTTTATCTCAGCGCTCGGCGAACTTGAGTGCTTTGCGTGGTGCGGACATCGTGAAGGTATGTTTTCTCTGGAATCTTATAGGTCTTACTAATTAAAGATGCTTTAGGATTTGTTGTGGGCTGTAGGTATGCTCTATGCTTCGTGTAATGCTCCTCAGTTCACACTCCTTCTCAGATGAGGACAGGTTGTTAACATAGGTTTGAGGGTGAGGAAGAGGAAGAGGGAAGGGCACAAGGCCCTGCCCGCAGGTATTGCATTAATCCCCATGCTTTTTGCTCATTGCTAATGTGTTCTCTAAGCAGCAGAGTTTTTATGCTTCTGGCTGTGAGAACCTCTTGTGACGACCTCTTTGGTTGAGGAGTCATCTCTCTTGTGGTGGCGTTGTGAGTCAAGGTTCCTTCTGTATCTTAGATCTGTGCTGATCCGAGTCAGCGCAGCACCTCGCTGGAAGGTTTAGCGAAGCTGTCGTCAGTTGGTTTCAGCTAATTCGCGGTCACGAGCGTATGCTAATCTCTGCCAGGCCAGGCCATGAGAGCCTCAGTAACCTGTTCGGCCCCGATGTGATCGGCCCCGCTACGTGCGGCGCCGCCGGCCCCGCGCCGCGCGGCCGGCGCCGTTGCTGTTCCGCCGGTCTATTCGGCCAGGGCGCGCGTTCGACTTTGTGCGGTAAGATCGTTGTTTCTTGGTATACCTGAGTCTAACTAGAACTATAGGTGATGTTCAGAGGGTTTGCCTGCCAGCAGGAACGTATGGGGTTTCTGTACTGTTTTCCTTAACCGGTAGAGGGCACAGGTCAAAGTGCCCATATAGTGTTTCCAGAATTGTGCCCGCGTATAGGGTGAATTTTGCCGTAGTCTTTTTGCGGGGGGGCTGCGTCGTAACTACAAACTCAATAAAAGCGTTTGACCCGCTAAGAAATGCCTCCCTCCTGTATGTGAATGATGTCTTGCCTCAAACCATGTTTCCTGCCTGGCCTCAAGATCCACAGGCCGCACCTCGGTGAGAAATTGAGAGTAAGTGTCGAGTAGAGCGTCTGGCTTACGACCTGGCCGGAGCCCGTGAGTCACCCTGGAGATAGCTGTGACCAATGACTCCTTGTTTGGAGGGCGAGGGCGTAACCTTGAGGATTTCTGACCATTCAGGCCACGTCGGAAAGTTCGCGCCGTCTCCACTGTAGGTACAGCTGCAGCCGGAAACAGGACAGTCAATGTGTGTCCGACGCCCAATCCTATATAAGCTTAGTGCCTTTCCTCAGTCGAGCTTAGCCCCCAATTCTCACCTCTCCTGTCATCCACCAACTGCATCATTTTCATCTCCGCTAAATCCTTTCCCAACACTTCTCTACCATCTATCGTTATGGTTCATATATTTGATATTCCGCGCGAGATTCGGGACCTGATTTATCTTCAATGCGTTTTGTCTGAGGGCGGCTACATCTTGGACTTCAACAGCAACAGGCTGAGATGTGCAGACGGCAAGCGCATTGACCTGGCGTTCATGCTCACTTGCAAGAAGATTGCAAATGAAACCAGGGGACTGGCACTTTCATCGAACATTCTGAACTTCGGAGCAGTCTGCCCTAGTGAGCAGGAGCATCGCGAGGTAGCTGGTCGCTTCGGGATAGCCCTGACAACGCTCAGCCAGAGGCGAAGCTACAAGCTCGATCAGATCTACCCGGATACTCTGGACATCCCCAATGACATATGGAGGGATATCTCGAAAATCGAACCGAAGCTAGCCCCATACGTCGAACTCCTTCAGCGTAGGCCCAATGGCTGGCGCGTTATGGATGGTGCAAGCCACATGATGCCAACTATCATTGAGAGACCAGAGATTGGCTGGCCTGGAACCTGTGGAGAGACGCCGTCCGTCTTCCGCAAATTTGCTCGTTCTGCGCTACAACTACTTTTGGCGAATAAGGATCGATTCGAACCGGAAGAGTTCCGTCAATTCGAAAGGGGGATGCTCCCCTGGCATGAGACCGAGCTTGCAGGCATCGTCAGCGTCAACCCTAATGCATGGGAGATCCCGACATTGCAGAGTCTTAGTTGGTATTTGCGCGATATGTGTCCCTTCACTGCTGCAGAAATCTCAAAAAAATGGGGATCTCCTAACGATGGGTTCGATCAAAAGCTTGTCAAACATCACTACTCAGCTGCGGCTGCTGCTATACGATTTTTATGCTCTTTGCGTAGGGACTCTCGGCTAAGCATACGAAAAATCATTCTCAACGAAGATCGAGCAGCTGTTGCATTCCCTGAAGCGCACGGCCTGGGTCTTATTCCATACTGCCAGGAAAACCCGCGCCTTCGCGTGGAACGCCGCGTCAGTATGTGGAGGACAGTCTTCCAGACTCAGGTCGATGGCCAAGCCCAGCACGCAAAACCATACGATTTCAACGATGGCGCTTGGGCGGACTTGATCTCTCGTCCTGTGGCAGTCTGGATCCTGGAAGCCCTGGAACTCGAACCCGCCGGAATGCCGCCTGGCGCCTTCACGTTAACCTTCGAGGGAGACCAAAAGTGCTCAGAGATTTTCCGCACAGTCGTACAACGCGACGCTGCATGGCAAGCCGCAGTCGACCTATCTCTGGAAAGGCAGATTCTCCCTCCACTGTCGTGGGTTGCGAGGAGACGAGACGGATGGGCTCACCACACGGCAAGGGACAGCAAGTGGCACGTTCTTGAAGGCTTCCCTCAAGCGGTGCAAGACATTGTGGCGGGTAAATCTATTGTCAAGTGCAACTTCGACATGGGCGAGATATGGGATGTGGAGAAACTAGTTGAAGACAGGAAAGACTGGACAATGAGTGATTGGGACCAACGCTGGAAACGGGGGTTCCACGTACGTTTCGACCCCGATCCGCCGTCGCCGAAATATCTGCAGCTCCTCTGCGACAACACATTCGATACGAACGTACCAATAGACCCTAGACATTGAGAAGCTGGGTGTGCCGGGGATTATTGCGGCAATTTGAACACACTAAGGTATTTTCGATACACCTATTCACGATAGGAGAAGAGAAAGATATAATTAGGTTCTTTGAGTAGGTACTAATAGAAACCACGTCAAAAACCAGTGTGCATTTCCAATCGCTGTCTCGTCAAGGTTACAAAGCCGGGTTCTAAAAACTTGAAAGTTTGCCCATGGAGTCTTCGTCAGGTGCAAATGATCTGAGGATTCGCCCTCTTTCCGTAACTCGTTATGATGCGCGCAGTGTGCTTTACTCGATGAAATGGACGAAACGTGACAAACGCGGTCTGGATGTGGGCCCTTAGCCTACACGACAGCGAGGTCTCTTCTCACGCACTTTGCAGCGTCCGTCTATCGGGAGTTAGAAGAACGAAAATAGAGTTGCGGATTGATTGGGGGAATCTGAGACGTAGGATATCGGCTTACGATGGACTCTTTGCTAGCAACACCCAGGTCTTGCCAACTTCAAGCAAACTTCTAGACTTTATTAGCTGTTGAATCCTGAGATGCTTAATCCTGGGTGCTTGTCGACTTGACCAAATCGCGGCCACAGGAGGAATCGTTCGCACCAGCCTCAAGGCTCGCTTTCCAAGAGCAGACTTTTCGAGGCCCAAAACCCTTGCGTTATTGAAGATTGGTCAGGTCCGTATTCTGGTTATCAGTCATATTTAAAGAATGTAGCCTTTGCGCCCGTGACGACTTGTCTAGCCAAGCTATGTCTGAGCTGTCGCCCTTCTTTCTCATGGGCCTGTCTAGACATTGATTTGGGAGCCCCAAAGAAGCCCCAAAGATTGGGAAAATATGAGGATAAAGATGGCTGAAAAGGGTAGAACCATTATGATACTCCGGTCCCACCTTCTCAAGTATCACTAGGGTTACATGAGAAGTGATATATGTCACAGATCCAAAGAATGGAATTTCAACGGCTGGATCGAAACGCGGCAGGCCTCAGGAATTCGATGCAAAATTGCAACGAGTCCACCTCAAGACGAGTACTGTTATTAACTGCTGGGGAAAGAGAAGGCGGAGCATCGAAACATGAGAGATCTGCTTTTGGTTGCAAGCTGAAAGAATCCCTAGTCTGGACACTGCAACTTGGTGGACGATGATTTCGCAAGCGTCCGAGCGTATGGCTCAACAGTCTGAGCAGGAAGCATTCGAATGGGCATTCGATGAGCTTCAAGCTGCAAACCACGAGTAAAGAATAAAGTGCTCTTTCACCCACAGAGATGCTGATACTCAATTGAACAACCCCAGCGCCGTGACGTATGGGACGACCCCGCCGTCGGAAACCCGCCGCCGGCAGCACGGACCCGCATCGGGCGACTGTCCTCCGCGACCCCGCCGTCTCCGGCATCCTGTCACCCCCTTGCATGACAGTGACATATCGAGGCCGGTTTCCAGCGCCCCGAAGCGTCCCGGCATTTTAACCTCACCCTGTCGTCAGCTTGATCTTTCATTCAAGGCTTCGCTTTGCATCTCACGCGTTTCTCTGCTTCACCAAGGCACTTGATTTAGCGGGATCTTGTTGCAATCAACCCACTCTCACAATGGGCGACCCCACACCCCGCGACCAGCTCTCGAAGCGGGCAATCCCCTTCATGACCCTTGCCAACGGCCTGGAAGGTCTTCCCGGCGCAAAAGCTCGCACAGCATCCGTCTCTGACGACGCCATCTCCCGCTTCGCCCTCCCCGGGACAGCAGTCGTCACGGGCGGCACCGGTGCCATCGCCCTCTCCGTCGTGCGGGCAATGCTCCAGCACGGGCTCACCGGCCTCATGCTCCTCGACTTGAACGTCACATCCGCAGACGCAGTCAAGTCAATCGCGTCCTTGCGCGAGTCCTTCCCCGACGCCAAGATCGAGGCCCTGTCCGTCGATGTCACGGACGAAGAGGGCGTCGGGAAGGCCATGGAGCGCGCTGCCGAGGCGCTGGGCGGGGTCGATTACCTGGTGTGCTTCGCAGGTGTCGTGGGCTGCGTGCATGCGCTGGAGATGCCCGCCGCGCAGTTCCGGAAGATTTTGGACATCAACACGACGGGCGCATTCATCTGCGCGCAGGCCGCTGCGAGGATCATGGTACGGCAAGGGCGCGGCGGAAGAATCGTGTTCACGGCGAGTATCTCGGCGCACCGGGTCAATTACCCGCAGCCGCAGTCGGCATACAACACGAGCAAGGGGGCGTTGTTGATGCTGAAGAGCAGTCTGGCGGCCGAGTGGGCCGGCTACGGGATCAACGTGAACAGCATCAGCCCGGGATACATGGACACCGTGCTGAACGAGGGCGAGGGACTGGCCGAGGCGAGAAGAATGTGGGCAGAGAGGAACCCAGCCGGCAGGATGGGCATGCCGGAAGAGGTTGCCGGAGTTGTCGTGATGCTTTGCTCAAAGGCAGGGAGCTATTTCAACGGAAGTGATCTGGTGGTTGACGGCGGAGGTGTTGTGTTCTAAGGTAGAGCAGGGTCTGTAGATGGGTCAAAAGAGCGCAAGATCTGGACTTGGATAAATAGGTAGACAGAGGTGCTTTCGATTTGAATAGTTTTTTCCATATTCCCCGCTTTTTCTCAAATGAAGCCTTGAACCCAATTGTATACCAAGTAGGCAAGTGACGAACAAAAGATCTTGGTCATCCGAGGTCTTGTAGGATCAGAGAACTCAAGCAAACAGAGCCAGTTATTCGTGTCCTGGCAGTCACCCTGAGGGGAGCAAGTTTTGTCTGTCAGTGTTCATGTAATATCTGTCTGCAGGCTGATCCTTGCTCTAGTGAATTCCGCATGAGCGCAACCAGCCTTTGTCTGGGTTTACACCTGCCTGCTTCTTCAGTGTTGCCTGTGAAGAATTGAAAACGGACACCAGCAGAAAGACAAAGATCGGTGACAGGCTTTGCGCACGACCCCACCTGAGATAAGACACCTACCGCACCTTAGATAAGGCCGGTCATGGTCACGTGGTGTTATCGATACGGCTATCTTAGGGCACCTGAATTCTCGTAATGGGTCCCATCTTGACGTCGCCCTCCCGAAATTTGTTTCAGTGCTGAGTGCTGTTGCTCAAAGTTCAACGCGTCAACACCAGTATCCACACCACAACGCGTACACGATGAGCTCATACAGACCATCATACCCACCTCGGAGAGGTAATCGCGACAGCAATCGCAACCATGGCCGTGATCGCTACGATTCCCGCCAAAGCCACCAGGGTCCTCCCGGGGCTGGTGATAGCTGGCGCAATCCCTGGCCAGAGGACCGTGAGTATCGCCGCCGTTCCCGATCTCGATCACCACCGAGGCACTCCGGCCACTATGATTCTTACAGAGGAGGCGACACAGGTCGAAGATCCGGTGGCTATGATGGCTACAGACCCGACTCGCGACCCCCTCAGGGCGACTTCACTTTCCGCATGGACAAGCCCTCCGGCGTGGGCGACATCGGCGACTCCTACCGCCCTGGTCAGGGTAACGCGCGACGAAACGGTCGCGGTCGCGGCCGCGGAGGTCCCTATGGAAGAGGTCGTGGCGGATATCAGAAAATCATTCCCGCCGAGCGCGAGCTTCTGAAGTCTCGCCGCGACGGCGTCGATGAGAATCTCGTCAATGACGCCGATGGCGGCGCCAAGTATCGCGACATAGACGAGCTTTCGGACGACGAGGAGGCCGACATGGACATCTCGGACAACTCTGACGACGACTCGGGTGAGCCTTCCAACAAGCGAGTCCGCCGCGACGACAACGACGAAAGCGGCAACAGCGTGCCCAAGTGGTCCAACCCAGATCCGTACACCGCACTCCCCCCGCCCGACGCCGACAAGGAGCGCAAGAAGAAGGACATGGTCAAGATGATTCGCAAAGCTCGCGTCGACGACACTGCTGCCGACAAGCTTGCTGCGAGCACCGAGGCCGAGGAGTTCATTTCCTTTGACATGGATGGTGGCGACGATGGCGAGGAGGAGGAAATCATTCTGCCTCCTTCCAAATCGCCAACTCCTCCACCGCCCCCGCCGTCCCTTCCTGCTCCTCCTGCCCCCCCTCCTTCCCTGCCTGCCGCTGGTGTGTTCAGAGAGCCGCCTACTGCTCCCCGCCACGATCAGGCCTCCAACGGTCACTTCAACGCTTCTGCCGCTTCTACGGCACCTTCCAACCCCAACAGCAACCGACCGGCCCTTCCTCCGAAGCCAGTCGTGGCCGACGACGCACTTGGCTCGCGCAAGCGCACTGTCGATGACCAGATCAAGCCACCCACCTACGGCCCTCTGAGGAAGATGAACAAGATGCCCGTCGGTGGTGACATACTTCCCGAATGGCAAGTCACCAGGCACGAGGACCCTACGCCCTGGATCAAGGCAGACCATTCCAAATCGTCGGACATTAGCGTTTGGTGAGTTTGACAGTCCACCCCGACAGCCCCGTACTGACCCGTCTCAGGCTGCACAAGGAAGTTGTGGATTTCTACGAAATGGTCAGGCCTCGTGAATTTGAGCATGCCATGCGCAGCCGACTCGTCGAAAAGCTTCGCAGGGCTTTGAGAACAAGCCGCAACTACAGAGACCACGATCTCGAGCCGTTCGGATCGTTCATGTCAGGTTTGTATCTTCCCACGGCCGACATGGACTTGGTTGTCTGTGCTAAGCGCTGGATCAACGGCGGTCCTTCGGAGTTCTTTGGTATGAAGCCCCTCAGAAACTTTGGCAAGTTCCTGTCCAGCTGTAGAATTTCCAACTACAGCACCATGGAGTTCATTGGTCACGCGAAGGTGCCCTTGGTCAAGTACATTGACACCCAAACCGGTTTGAGAGTCGACATCTCGTTTGACCGTCTTGATGGTCCCCAAGCCATCAAGACATTTGCTGCGTGGAAGGAACAGTACCCGGCAATGCCTATCCTCGTCACCATGATCAAGCACTTCCTCGTCATGCGTGGCCTCAACGAGCCTGTCAACGGAGGCATCGGCAGTTTCACCGTCACTTGCATGGTCGTCAGCATGCTTCAGCTCATGCCCCAGGTTCAAAGCCGAAACCTCGTCCCTGAGCATCACCTTGGTGAAATGCTCATGGAATTCTTCGATCTTTACGGAAACAGATTCGACTATACGAACACGGCTATCCGTCTGAACCCTCCCGGATACATGCACAAGGTACGTCCCCCGTCGGATGCATTAGCATGGGTCTAACACCCCCATCAGACCAAAGTTCCCGATGTCGTCTACAAGAATCGCGACCGCCTCTCTGTGATTGACCCTAACAACCCTGCCAACGACATTTCGGGCGGCTCTAGCAACGCCGGCCGCATCTTGGGAGAGTTCCGTTACGCGTACCAGAGGCTACAGAAGAGAATGGCGGAGCTGTCGCAGCTTAGCTCCCGCGCCAGCCAGCCGACCAGTATCCTCGAGGCGATCTACGCCGGCAATTACTCATCGTTCCGCAACCAGCGCGCACACCTTCGCAGACTTCACGACCAGTGACTGAAGATGATGGCACGATCGAGAGACATGAACGATGGTTCGACATGTGATGTTGTTCAAATTCGGCGGGCCTCTTCGAATGTTGTGGGGAGGACTTCTCGGGCTACAGGAACATTTGCTATACACACTGCGTTGCTTACACGGGGTACGGACAAGGCCTCCGTACAGAAAATAGTACGGAGATGGAGTCAGGAGAGGCGGCTGTTTTCATCGATACCCCCGTTACCCTCAGCCCGACCGATCAGCGCCGGGCTAGAGACCTTCAGAGGTTTTTGCAGTTTCATTTTGACGAAACGAGTTGTATGATAACGGGGAAGTTGGCGGCATGGATTGACTTTATAGGCCCGGGTCTCTCTACGTCCCCTGGTACGGGCCGCCAACTCTTCACGGCACGGGCCAGCCCTAGTGGGCATTGAATCAAAGAAAGGACATTCTACATTAGAAAGCTAACCGATGCAGCGTTACCGGTTCCCATCGCGGGAGCGGTAGAACGCCACCCGCCTGCGCTCCCCATCCCATGCTGACGATTCACAGGACTGTTCTCGCAGCTTCCTCGGAAGCTTGCGCGGGCTCTTCGCGATGAGGCGGCCTGGGTCCCTGGCGACGGGGATCCGGTCCGGTGATGACTTGCAAACCTGGCAGCGTCCCTTCGGGGCGCCGCCGCTTTTCTCACTGCACTCTGCTGCCTTGTGCACGGATGTGGAGAGGAAATGGTCTCTGGACCTCAAGTGGGTTGTATGGTGCATGACATGAATGGGCGGCTATGGAAGACCTAGTTGAGCGGCAGTGAACGACCGTCGCGATGAGGCTCAGGCATGATATTTGGCTGTCCATCAGGCCAGTCGAGTATTTGACTTTCCCGTATGAGTCTTGCGACATGGAGACAAGTCACGTTTTGCCAGACACCCAACCCTGCACCAGTGCCATCACGTCGCAGAACTTGTTAGCAGGCTATTCACGGGCAGGCGAAATGAGCAGACTGTTTGCCGCTCAGCCCTGGGATGGCGCTGACGACAGCCAAGCCGCAACCGAGACGAGCAACAGGAGTGCTGACATGAGGGGGAGCCGGGTGTCCCTTGTCCGCCGAGTTCGCTGCCACTAGTTCCCGACTGGGAGCTTGTCGGGGTAACGAGCTCAGACAGGACGTCTTCGACCTCTGCTTTCTCTGGCTGGCTTCGTTGGTCAGGCAGCTGCGAGGCTGCCCCTTGACCATCAGGTTCCCCCGCGGAGCCAGGGGACAGCAAGCGGGGAGGTTCGCAGAGCCTGCAATCGGAGCGAAGCAGCGCCGAGATCACGTCGAAGTGGTTGCGTCTAGTTGACCAAGCAAGATGGAGACGAGGCAGATGGACCGTTTGCTTGGGACCGTTGGCGGGGGTGCATGGCAGCATTTGACAGATCGGGGTCCCGGCGACAGGCCGACGGGGGGTTACATTGTCGAAAGCTTCTCGCTTTCGTGTTGCTTGAGGTAGGGCCTGTCGTGCCAGGGCATGGGCGTCGCACCGAATCGGCGCGAGAATGCACGGAATGAGGATGTCCTGTAGCTTGATAGCGACCAAGACGGAGATACTTGGAGCACGTAACTCAGACTTCGGGGTAACGTTGCAGCGCGGATTCCTCCAAGCGTGAGAGGGCGCGTAGGTCACCGAAGCGTGGACAAGCCACCGCGAAGGTCTTCAGTTTTTTCGCGCGCATGGTGACGAGAAGAACTTTGTGAAATGAGTCGGGGTCGTGAGGTGCAGTAGTGTAGTCGATTTGTTGATCTCCAGCAGACGGGTTGGTGATGGGGGGCCATCCGGTGGTGGGCCGTACTTCGGGTCTCCTGCGGCGTGCCTCGGCCGATGCCAGGGCAAAATCGTCGTGTTCGGCGCGATGGTAGGGGGTGGTCTCCAAGAAGGTCGTTGCAAAGTTTTCTCCCCCGTTGACCAGATGAATTCTGCACGGAAAAGCGTGGGAATGGGCAGTTGCGGCGGGTTGAATGATTTCTTTGCAAGCGGTCCATACAAGGTGCGGGAGGCAGGCGAGCTTTCAGTGGGTCAGTTTAGGTAATGGAGCCTGAAGCGACGGCAGCCAATGGGTATCTCAGAAGAAAAGCCTGGGTTGATGTACATGGTATGGACGACCCGTCTCGGAGATGTGGTCCGACAAATGGCCCGCAAAACAAGGACGGGAGGCAGGCGATTGTGGGCCTCCCGGTCGAGCTCGGGGGGCATTCCCCCGCATGTGCTCCATCAAGCAGAGAGGTATCTTATGTATGCGTTATGTGCAATACCTTGGGTGGTGGCATGAGATGTTTGGTGACTTGCCCTCAGGCATTGGATTTGTGAGGAAATGATGGATTTGTCCTCTGCGAGCATGTGGCACAGGGGTCACGAGGTATGGCCGCGGTCGTGTTCTCGGTGGATTGGGCGCGGTGTGCGGTCTGCGGCACAGGTTTTGCGATCTTGGCCGGGGCGGAGGGCTTCGATTCGATCGCGGCACAGCGGGTGGGTGGCTTGCAGGAGGGCGTTTGATGTGCAGTATTAGCTGCGGCATAACGGCGGCAGAGGAGCGGGCTGGCGCTGGTCGCCTACTGTTGATACCGCTTTGGGGGATGTCTTGGGAGGATGTAAGATGAGGCCGGTGGCTTGTGGAGGGAGCGAATGGGGAGGGGGAATGTCGAGTCACAGTGTGGGAATAGTGAATGGTTACATGCCCGCAAAGATGAGAGAGGTAAGGGACGGGGAAGCAGGAGCCTTGCGTGGAGCACTCCTGCGTTTTTGCCAAGAGGCTGGCTCTTCTGTCCAATTCTGCAGATCACGGGACAAGACACAGCGAAACGAAGGCGAAGGAAGGACACGCCGACGGTGGTACGACATCTGCCCGTCTTTGGCCCGGCCTGTCACCGCAGAGCAGGGCAACTTGGACGGCGTCTTTCCTCGTGTCTTTCCCGTCCGGGTATCATTTACCAAAGAGCTAGCTGCCTGTCAGTCAGTCAGTCAGTCTGTGCGGTCGTTTGGTTTGACTTACCTACCTTAACTTACCTTACTAGGTGCTTGACCTTATTGGTAGCTTGTCTCTTCTTTTTGTGGCTGTTCACGTTTCCTTCGGGTGCGGGGAAAAGCGGCCGTGAGGATTGGCCCGTCGCATCATGGAGGGTGGGCGTGGTGTCTGTAGAGGTACGTACCTGACATTGAACACTGAAGGATCCAATGCCTGCACTGCACCACTGCACCGACTGAGGTGACTTGAGCTCTCTCCACGTCTCCACTCCACTGTCTTTTCTGCGGGGCTCACTGTTTTGGCGACATCACTAACAGCCAGACCACGACGAACGACACTGGACAGACCACACAAGGCAGACCAGGCTGTCTATCCTATGGATCCGTACGTACGATGAACGGCGGTACGCGTCTTTGCAGCACCACCAACACGAGCACAGCATGAGACATTCAGGATCCAACAGCCCCCAAGGCTCACGGTTCAAGGCAACCAACACCGCCCGTGTGGCATTGGATCTGGCCGAGCTTTTCGTCTCGCTGCAATGTCGCTGTAAGCTCACGCCCTTGGCCCTGTTCTTGCTTGGCGGCACCATCGCCAATCGTCCCATGTCTTCGGCCACTCGCAGCCCCTTACCGCCAGCCCTCTGCTCCTCTCACACTTAGGTTTGCGACTCTGACGCTGCTGCCCTTCTCCGCACTTTGCCTCCCACACCCAATCCCAGTCCCCGGATCATCAATGGATGGCACTTTGGGGGATCAGAGGTGACGAGACGGGAGCTCCTGATTCCCCACGACTCACGCTGCCAGTGTTGGCTGTTCCCCGCCATGTTGGACCATCCTTCTCGAACCTCCTCGCCCGGCTCCAAGGATTGATCATCACCCCCTCGCTTCCTCCGCGCCTGCGTCCATCCACCCTTGACCGATCGTATGCCACGGGACGGCCAATCCTCCACACCAACCTTGTCCATCCCATGCGCCAACTTTTGCATTCGGTCCGTCCAATCCATCGCCCAGGGGTTTCTCCTCTGCCGAGACTGTCCAGTCCAATGTCAGTCGACGCCGCATCCCGGTGCGACGGGGGTCGCGTCCTTTCCAGCTTGTGACTCGGAGCTCATTACATGAGACATCTGCACCGTCCCGTCTCTGCCTTGTCCTCCCCTGCCCTGCTTCCAGACTGCTACTTTAACTTTCGGACGCGCCCACCTGCGAGCCCTCTGGAAGAAAGCCACGAGGGTTCCCTTCATCAACCCAGTCCATCTCATCACACATCCCGCAACCTGTCCAACACAGACTGGTACTCCGAATACAACACAACTGGATACACCTCACACAGACTCGCCACGCGCGGCCGTGAATATGTGGAAGTTTACCAACGTCTACGCCATTTGCGGTTTTGCCGCCATTGGTACGCTCCAGCCTCGCTCTCACTTCTGCCAGCTCTAACCATGTCCAGGTGGCGGACTCTTCGGCTTCGATATCAGCTCCATGAGTGGTGTCCTCGGGACCCAGGCATACAAGCGATACTTCAATGACCCCAAGGAATACGCCCAGGGTGGTATCACCGCCGCCATGCCCGCCGGCTCCCTCGTCGGCTCTCTCGTCTCCTCCTTCATCGCCGACAAGTACTCCAGAAAGATTGCGCTGCAATTCTCCTGCTTGCTCTGGGTCCTTGGCGCCATTCTCCAGTGCGCTTCCGTCAACGTCGCTATGCTCTGCGTCGGCCGTGTCATTGCTGGAATGTGCGTCGGTATTGCCTCATCCATCGTGCCTGTGTATCAGTCAGAGATCGCTCCCAAGGAGATTCGGTAAGCTCCCAAAAGCACTGAGAACTTCAGGAGAGTCATGCTAACGAACTCACAGTGGTCGCGTAAGTTCTTGACGAGGTTTTCCTTCCAACCATTGTCATGCTAATATTACTTTAGGTTGTGAGTTTGCAACAGTGGGCCATCACTTGGGGTATCCTCATTCAATACTTCATCCAATACGGTGCTGCCTCGGGTATCGGAGGAGGCCCCAACGACC